ATGTGATTTCAAGGATGCATTTTTAGCAACACAGACTACCTGAATGATAATCACAACACTAAGAGTTGTGTCTCTGCATAAGCCTTTCAGGTAGCAGCAAAATCTATGGAAATGGATTAGGCTATCAAAAAGTTCACCCCACATGAATTAAACACAAATAATAGAATGTTCTGCTTAAAACCTGGGTGACATTTAAGTCATACAGTAAATATAATCTTGTGGAAGATGATGGATGCTTGATCTACAAAAAGCAGCATCCTACTTCTTCAACTTCTCTCCTGTTTTTCAGCTTTCCACTGTTATTTCTAGTGCACAAGTCCTGCTGACTGAAATCTACTTCAACAGATTTTTGATATGACCTATTTTATCATCAATGCAGACTTGAAACAGAAGTATTAAAACACACAAAAATAGCAAACTTTTCACAGATGTCACTTTAAATATTGTTGAACTTTTCCCTCATGGCAAGTGATCATGTGTGAATTTTACAAGTCACCTGTGCAGTGCCAAAATCCCTAACATCAAATCTTCCGAAGGACAGTTCCTTATCTGATGATAATCCTGGCTCTCTGATATCGTAATCACATTAACTCTGTGAGACCCATTTCACTTGACATTACTGTCTTTTTCCCACAGACACAGCCTACACTAAACTTCCAGTGGCACCATCTCAATTAAGCATCTACTTAATTTGAACAAATCTGTGCTTCAGTGCAGTTGCTTTTTATGCATAAAGATCAGATTTTTGTGCTGTTTGGGATGTTCTTCCATATCAGGAGATTGTAACACAATAGCCAAGAGGGCTATCTTGTATAACCATAAAGCAAGTAAACATTCTTTCAATTGCTTATAGGCTTCTACGGACATTCCTCTAGCAAACATCCAAACTGTTCAAGAAAAAAGAATCTCACAAAACGTCTAGATAAGAGACTTTGATATAGAGAAAGTTGTAGAACCTGCAGTCTTTATACCAAAACCACACATAGATTCTCAAGTACAAGGCCATGGAGAGTGCTTGATTTGAAGTAGGCATCCAACTATACCTGTGTCACCACCTCAGATGTCCGCTGGATTTTATACTGGGGTGGAAAATGCTCCCTTTAAAAGTAAAATTAATGCGCATTGATTGTGTTGCGTGGCTCAACGTATTCAGATTCAGCATCAGAAAGGCTCTAAGAATCATAATCTCTAAAAAATAAATTCTGAACTAGTGACTAAGAACAACTGTAGTGACTAGACTAGTATCACCACACATCTATATACAGGCAATTTTCAAACAGCACTGAATATACTGAACAGTACAACTGTAAGAATTTAGATATATGTCCCTACAGAAATGGTGACTGAAGGACACTGAACTGAAAACAATGTTTCTACCATGGATTCATTCTGTCAAATAATCAATATTTCAAGCTGACAATTTATCACCAAGAATCATACAGTAGAATACATATATAAGAATGGCAATGTTGGAGGTGATAAACAAACCCTCCAAAGCTAAGTGATAAAGGCACTAAGGACAAAAGTTCCTGCACAATTTTGCATAAGGAAGGTGTGACGAAAAAAGTATTTCCTCCTACCCAACTCACCTTCACCAATAAGAAATCAATTCTGAATTAAATACTCTCATTAGAGGAATTCCTGAATACAGATAGGTACTAAAGGATCTCAAAAATCTACAGTTGTAACAGACCACAGTTTCTACATGCTCCCTAATCTTGTGCTTTGCTATACTCACCAGTAGTTATTTTTAGTCTTAATGTCCATACTAAATTCCCCTCTTTTGCATTTACTTCATCACACCCATTCTGCCAGCCTCATCATTACACTTTGAACGAGGGCAAAGGATCCACACATAGTATCAGAGAACACAGGTGAAGAAACAGTGCAGAATGTTGCTACTGCTAGGCTTTTTCAGTGGTGTGGAATTGCCTGGATACAATGAGTGATTAAGCATGTCAGAATTCTTCAGCTTGAAGAGAAAGGGAATCCTCTGAAAAGCCTCTGAAGAAACTGAACAACCTCCTCCAATGAAAATTAGGGATGAAAAAGCAGTTTGATTAAAAAAAGCTACAACAACAACGCCAACAACAAAAAACCCCACAAAACACACCAATCAAAAGATACCAAACAAACCCACACATAAAACAGAAAAAAACCAAACCACCACAAAAGTGGCAACACCTCTCACATCACGTAATCATCTGGAGAACTCCTTGCTATAGGACAAGTAAGATGATAAAGATATGCAAGCCATAACAAATACTGGTCAAGTTCCAGAGAAGAAATCCACAGAGGGATTGCTAAGTACAGAAGCTCCCAAGCCACAAGTGATTAGACTATTATTGTGCAGAATTATCATTACATGCCTTTCTATTCTAATATTGTTCACTACACATTCACTTATTGACCATTCATCATACGTGGCTAGATCTTTCCTAACTACATATTTCTTCTTCAAATCGAACCCCAGCAATTGTTTTAACCTTTCAAGAAAGTCTTTGAATGAGTGGCCTTTTTTATTCCCCCCTTCCCTTTTCTTTTATTTCCTCTCCTGTTTCTGGTCTTCTCTCCATTTGACCAATGTTCTTCCTAAAGATAATAAGCACCAATGAGCAGAATATTCCAGCTGAAGTCTTACTAGTCCTACACATGAAAACCATCTCACTGCAGTGTTTGTGTCTTCACTTAAAGAATGTCATTAAACACTTAGCTTTCATAGGTTTATCAGATGATAATGTTCTCTCTCAACTAAGAGACTTATTCTGGTATTGCCCTTACCATTAACAAACCACAGAAGCCTTCTTTGTTACACTTTGCATATCTCATTTTTTGCTTCTCTTGGGTCAAAAGTTGTAACATTCAATCTCAAATCCTGAAATCCTACTATAGGAGGTCACAAAGAGCTTGTTATTTCATCCATTAATGAAAAGACAGCGGCTGCCCACATTCCAGATGATTGAGGAGGAAGGTTTGTTTCTCTCAAAGGCATTGAACACTTGTAGTGCAGCCAGCTGCAGCAGCTACTGTCTCCAGAACCATCTTGGTTAAAACTTACTGAGTTTGTTAATTTTCTGGTACATGAAAGAGAAAAAAAAAAAATGAACTATACTGAGAAGTAGGCCACAACAAGAAAAACCCTAGAGTTTTGCAAGCATCAAGAATTCTTTATCAGATAAGCTTATTTTATCCTATCAGGCTATTAGGAGAAAGCAGAGCTAACATCCAACAAAGACAGCTTGTTAGATTTTTCTAGGAAGGCAGACATGACAAGCCTTCCTCCACTAATGGATTCTATCATAGCAAGCATATAACTGGTACTGATAGATTATAGTCTCTTGAATCCCTGTCCAACTTCATCTAGAGACAAGAACTTACACAACTACAGTTAAGTCTACTGGTGTCAACAAGTGGTCTGTGCCAACAATACTACATACAATATTGTGCAAACCTCATGAAGTTCAACAAGGTCAAGTGCAAGGTCCTGCACATGGGTCGGGGCAATCCCAAGCACAGAGAAAGGCTGGGCAGAGAATAGATTGAGAGTAGCCCTGAGGAAAAGGACTTGGGGGTGTTGGGGGATGAGAAGCTCAACATGAGCCAGCAACATGCACTTGCAGCCCTCAAAGCCAACCATATCCTGGTCTGCATCAAAAGAAATGTGACCAGCAGGTCAAGGAAAGTGATTCCGCCCCTCTACTCCTCTCTGGAATACTGCGTCCAGCTCTGGGGGCCCCCAACATAAGAAGGATGTGGACTTGTTGGAGTGAGTCCAGAGCAGGCCACAAAGATGATCAGAGGGCTGGAGCACCTCTCCTGTGAGGACAGGTTGAGAGAGTTGAGGCTGTTCAGCCTGGAGAAGAGAAGGCTCTGGGGAGATCTTATAGCAGCCTTCCAGTACCTGAAGGGGGCCTACAGGAAAGCTGGAGAGGGACTGTTTACAAGGGCATGGATACCCCATCCCTGGGTACATGTTTACAAGCTGTGGATATCCCATCCCTGGCAGTGTTCAAGGCCAGGTTGGATGGAGCTTTGGGCAACCCAGTCTAGTGGAGGGTATCCCTGTCCATGGCAGGGGGGTTGGAACTAGATATCTTTAAGGTCCCTTCCAACCCAAATCATTCTGTGATTCTACAAGTCTCTAATATTGTTATCAGTGACAAACGCATCACTAAAGCTCTTGACAGAGCATTTAGTACCAATTCATGCAATTTTAGGGCAAGATGAATCACCTATGGAAAAATATAGACATACAACATTTGCTCTGAAAAGTCAGCATTGCTACAAGTACCACATTAATACTTACACTAAGCATCACTCAAATCTTACATGTCAAGAACGACCTACAGGGTTTTCTCCTCCTAACTACTGGGGAGATTGTCAACTTCTCTTGTTCCTACAGCAACACGCTGTTTGACTTCCACCTCAATAGCAGATCTCATTCATATTTAAGTGATATAGACTGCAGTTAGTCTGCTTCCAGCAGATACAGGAGGCAAAAAAGAAGATACTGCCTAATTGTTACATTTGTCACAAAGCCTCCAGAGAAGAGTGCAGCCCAGAAAGACTTCTCCTGTTATGCTGTATGGATGATAAAGATTGAAAAGGGCAGGGAGGGAGGGAGGAAGAGGAAACAATATTATTCATCATCGTAAGATGGGAAAGCTTGTATCTTTCAAAAAGCATCATCAACAAGTACTATAGCATTCAAACCAATATTCAAAGTTAAAAAGAAGTTTTCTTGAAGACCATGAAGTTTGAAAAAGTCACTACATACACACTTTAAAACACTTTAAACAAGTAACAAATATAAAACTTGCCTTGCTGAGTTCAGTATCGAAGGGTAACATCGTAACAATCTATAGTTGCCTAGATGAGATCGCGTTCAGATATATGTACTAATATGTGGTACTGACTACCAACACACACATTAAATTAGAAGCCTACATCCTGCTTAGGATACTAAATATAAACCAGCTTTCCATGTTAGTCACACTCACCGTTTCTTGTCTTTGGGACTCAGTGAGCTTTTCAGACAATTCTTCTAGAGTCTTTCTTAATTCAGCATCAGTCCTTTATAGAAAAATATAGGTAAGACAATATTACAGAGTACAAAACCTAAATATCAACTATGATAATTTTCAGCAGCAACAATCTTCTGGATTTTTATGCTACTTCAATGTGTTCTACAGATTCTAAATTCCTAGCGTAGTTAGGGACCAGTCTCAAGTAGAAAATTCACGATAAAAAGCATTTCCATTGCTCAACTGAAGATAACAGAGCATCTAGTTTGAAAGGCTAGGTATCAGGTTAACAAATACAAAATTATGAACATGTCTACACAGTCTTTTTAAACAGTACTAGCTCCTACTAGGAATTAGTGGACAAATTCCTGTTATTGCTACTAGACAAAGCACCATATGTTGAGACAGTATGTACTTTAAAAAAAACAAAACCATTATGGCCTGCATGAGAGCTTGCCCTCAAGAGAGTCCAGTAGTAAGAATACACAAGGAACAAAATTGTAATAAAAGAAATTCCCATGTCCTTGTTGTTTTGTCCATATATAAAAAAGGGGAGGAAGCCACATATACTATACAAATCAGAATTGACGGGTGTATTTACATTTAGGAATACTGCACGAAATGACATGGGACAAGCAGTTCATAATACTGCTTTCATCTACATGTTGTGCAATCCCCCACTCTCCCCAGAATTATTTTTAATACAAAAGAACAAAGGAGTTTAAGAATTAGTTAAAAGCATAACAATTATTTTCCACACTATTCTTCACATGGAGCTATATTCTGTTCATACCGATTTCTTCTTGAAAGCTCCCGACTGATGTCATCTCCTAGGCGAACTTGTTCACTACTGAGATCTCGAAGAGACTGGTGGAAAGAATGCAGCTGTAAATTAAAGTACACAAATTAAGCCAAAGTTTGGGAACCTTTTTTCCTGTGATATTTATATATATATATACACACACACACACATACTTTTTAAAATAAAGCAGATAAAAATAATCCACAAAATAAAAAAATTCCATGAATTGCAGAGGAGTCTGGATGAGTAGATGAGGCTTGCATGCTTCTATTTGATCAACCCTACTCAACACTTGCTCACTGAAGTTCAATTTTCAGCACATTATTTACTAAACCAAGTTTCCCAACTATGTTTTTTCCCTATGGTTCAGAGCTTGGTCATTTCAGTTACCTGACAGTGCATCATCTTTTTAACCTAGTGCAAAGCAAGTTGAAAGACCTGAACAGGTCAAGTCAGGAGAGACACATTTCCTGCTAATAAATGCTAGTTTAAGTGAAACAAAGTTCTGCCCAGCTATATATACGACTATAAAAAGATGGCATATGAAATTGGAAGTGACTAAGCAGAACATTATGATGTATTCAGGAACTATCACAGCACTGAGGAAAGGTATTTTACCTTGCCCAAGACTTTACATACTCAACTAGAATGCTTTTTTCAGAGTTTGGGAAAAGAAACAAGAACTACCACATCTATTTTTTTCTGTAAAACTTCCCATTTCCCCCATTCAGCAGGCCCCCAATTTATAGTCAAAGTTTTCAAGGGAGCAAATAAAAAAAAGTAACAGGTCATCCATCCTTTATGGGACAAAACGTGACAGTTAACTGATCCTAATTCAGCCTACTGCTGTCAACAGCTCAGTGGCCAGTACCACCATTATGAAAACCCCTGGTTTATAATATACCCTTGTTCTATGCCCAAGACTTAAACCTGGATCTTCCACAGCCCAGCTGATTGTTCTCAACATTAACACACAGGCATTACCATCTCCCCTTTGTGACTAACTAGAAATTTCAACCCAACCCAAGAGACTTTCAAAAACAGAGCATATTTTCAGAATGTATCAGCCTAAGAAAGAAAGGGACTCAAATGTGTTAAAAGTCCATTCAGCTGGAAAATTACTTTAGCTAGAAGCAATCAGCTTCTAGGGACTGTGGTTACAGAAAGAAGAAAAAGCCACAGCTTTAGTTAAGCAGTACTGCTTTATCTTTGCCCCTGTTTCTACCTATGGTCATGATCAATGACTACTTCTAGTTCATCATTCCTCAAAGCACTATGCTGCTTTTACACAATAGTTAATGATTGAGTAAAGCCATATTCACTCACTGAAAAGCAAGAATAAGGAATAAACCAGCAGTTATCATCAAAACAGGAAAAAAAGCTATTTGCTTACATAGTTACTTAATATAAACTAGGAATTTCGTATGCATTGCAGGAACTCCCTTGAATAAAATTCCTAAAATATTTACAGAATATTTAGAAGTAGTTTAAAATAGTACTAGGCTTTTTGGAAGCTTAGGAGGAAAGATTTCCATATAACATTATTTCCTTCCAAGGATTATGCTCCATATTAACCTTGGGGGAGGAAGGAATGGGGGGAGAAGTAGACTGGAAGGACAATGAAACAGGGTTAAATAGAAGTCTAGGAATTTCTGTAGCACTCTGACATCCCAAAAAGTCAACTGAGAGAATCTACTGTGGTTGAATTTAAAATTAATTATATGGAAGTTGAGACTGATTTAATAAATTCAACATGAACACCTTACAATCAGCTGCTCTAATGTTAGTTATAACACATTTCTCCTGTACAAGTTAGTCCACGCAAGATTCACTCATGGAGGTCTAGCCACTCCATCTAAAAAAGCAAAAACAGGTACTGAAATCTCTCTACCTGTAGGATATAGAAAGCCTATAATCTTATCCATTAAAGTAATTAATTTAGTTTTTTTCTGAAAAGTCTGCAGGTAGACACAAGTTAAGGGGTATGAAAATTACCAGTGCCATACACATTGTCTCTTCCTCGCATCATCTGCCTTAAGTTCAGGGTCAAATTACCCCACTCACAGGCCAGACTTAGAATTAAGATGGAGAACTAGCTGGCTCAGAATCAATCCAGGCTACACTGAAGTAAACAGCAAAAACACTAAGATCCTATGCCATTAACTAAAGTAGAACAATCCCCTTTAGAGTCACACTGGATTTCAGCATGTAGGTAGATGTTTGAAATACCATCTCTGATTATGTGATTTTCTTACATGTGGCCTAAAAAGTACAGAGATTATTTTCATACATTCCTTTTGATACCACTTCTATCTGCATCTTTTTCTGTATAATGATAGATCTGCATGAAACTTCATAACATTGACAGATATGAGGTGACTGCCTAATGAAGATTGGCACATAACATTGGAAGCACACTCCATAGCTGAAACATTCTTAGCTGCCATCATCAGAATAACCTTATCTGATGTAAAAGCAAAAAGCCCGGTGACCACATATTGCCTGTTTGGGGAAGCAACTCCCATTAGTGCTTTGTACCTGGTCCAAATTATCTGCCTCATTGACAAATCGAACACTTGCAGATCTAGACCTTCGATGTTTATTGCTCTGTGAGTCTCCATAATCCCTGAGAGGAGAAGTAGGCAGGAAGTGGTGGTTCCCTTTATGAGATAAGAGATTAAAAAAATAAGTAGGAAGATAAAACTTCATACAGGAAATTTTTTATTTTGCTTCACAAAAAACATGTGTTTCCTCTCACCAATATCCTTATAGCCCATATTACAGACAAAACAACTACTGAAGTTACATAAAATGCACAAGCATACTTCTTGTTTAGCTCTTTTCAGGATTCTTCTTCAATTTAAATATTTCTGGAATAAATGTATGTGATAGGTAAGAAAGAGGTTTCCTTTGTTCCTCCAAGGAACAGGTAATTTTTACCTCAAATTTTATTTAAGCAACAACTTTTCCTTCACCTGGATCTATTATAGCTTCAAACTATAGTACTTCACAGCTTTTACATTAGAAAAATGAAAGTTTTAGAGCTTTCTTCTAAAATACATTAAATACTACTTCTAGGAGGAATACTCCTCCCAAATACACCCTTCCCTAAAATGTAATGAATTTTCAGAGAGATGTACAAGACATAATTATTTTCTGTAGGTTATACATTAGTTCAGTTTTTCCTTTTCCACTGAGCCTTACATGATTTCATCCACACATGCATAATCTTATGCATTTAAAATTTAACTTTTCTTTTTGCTGTGAAGTAAGTATCAGAAGTTGCAATATCTTTTGTATGTAGCTTTAATTTGTATGTACCTACAACTCATGCAGCGGACAAGGAATTTTCTCTACTGAAAGAATCGGCATTTCATTTAGATCTCTCGGGATATCAACAGAAAAGACTATGTAATAGAAAGCTATAGGAACTGCATAACAATGCAGGTCTCCCAAATTTCTAAACTGAATTTCTTTGAAGTAACCAATTATGACTTTTCATGCCACTATCTTTAACACATTTTCCTTCTTAATTTCCTCTTTCCATACAACAGCTATATGACATAATTTATGTCTACTCAAGCACCTTAAGTATTTTACCTGACACTCCTTCTCCATCCAGATCACTAGGGTATAAGCTTGAGAGAGAAGAACTTCTCATTCCAGAGTTTCGGGTTAATCGTTGCCTCCTTAATTGACCTATAGACTGTTCCAATGTTTCTTTTAACTGTAGAGAAATTACAATTTACTGAAATATGAACACAGACTACATAAAATCCATGCATGTAAAATACTATTTTGCAAAAAAAGTCATTACGAGAATCAAAACTATTTTTAAGCCAAGTATAGCTATGAATTAATAACAGCTTTTCTTCAACATCTTGTATGTCATATTCCCATAACTACAGTAAAACATGTTTCCAACACTGGCAGCTTCAAATATCAAGTTTCTTAAAATACTGGTGCAACACACCGGAAAAACTCAAAAGAAAAATATGTCTCCTACAACCAAAAGAAGACCTATTTGCCAGCCCTGCAAAATTCAGAAAACAACTTCAAAGAATTTTTTTTTTAATTGGAATTTTTCTAACAGCCCTACCTGGAATCAGTTTGACACATGGCTATCAAATTTCACTAAGCAGCTTTCATCAAATCCTACTTTTAGCAGTTACACTTCCAGAAAAAGGCAGCTATTACAAACTTAAGAGTTCAGATCTAATTATATTCCTAAATAAGTTCCTCGTTTTTCAAATTTGTGTCTTAATCTCCAAGATTGCATTTGCTAACTTTGGTTCTTAGCCACTTGCTTTTGTCACATCTTTATTTGACAGTCCACAAAACATCAACTTCTAAAGGTTCACCTTTCCTTTCCCTAACAGAGGCTTGTACACCGTGGTTAAATTGCTGCTTTATTCTTGCATAATTATACTGACTATGTTGGATCTCTCTCTGAGAGGCACTTTTTTTCCCAAAGCATAAAATGCTAAATCTTTTCTAAATCTTCCAATGCTTGTTTAGGTTCTTTTTAAAGTATTATGTTTTCATTATATGGTATTATTAAAACAACTTCATTACCACTAAGAAACTCTCAAACCAAAAACCTTAAGGATTTTCTAAGGCTTTCTCAAAAAGACAGAGGCTACTTGGGGAAAAAGATACAACAATGCATGTATACAACAAAAGATCACTTTTGTATTCAAAAGGCTAAAACTTAAAAAAAAAGAAAATGCCACGGGATCAAAGAACAAACAGCAATAACTCAGTTTTCAAATCTAACCTGACTCTGTCAAAGACTTAGCTTAATTCAGAGTTTTTATTGCCCTATTAAAAATGCAAGATAAGTGCTCAGTTTGTATGCTTTAGCTTTACAGCACTCCTTTTCGTCCTTTCTACATGAAACCAGCGTGGTGAATTTTTAAAATTATTTTTATTTTTTAAACAAAGAACCACAACAGTGTCCCGAATTAACAACCTTATTCTTCAGTCTGTTTCTTTGGAAGAGAACAACAGCCAAAAAATTGTTTAAAAATTTTGAGTTATAATTTACATTATCAATATTGTTATATTTTAAAGTATTTGTGTTCTCTTAAAAAACAATTCTTAAAAGAATGAAGAGCTGCTAGTGAGAGTAGAACAGAGATATTAAAACCCACAAATTTGAATAGAATATCCTTAGTATTTACCAATCACGATTTCATTCCTCAACACCTCATCTATAAGCTGTTTTAAACGCATCAAACAGTGCCTAACATTTCAGTCCTTTCCCATTTCTTTTTTGAGACAAACATCAGTGCATCAGAAAAAATAAAATTAAAAAAAAAAAACCACAAGAGATCTCTCTCAAAGGCTAATTACTTTTAAACCTCTCAAAAGCCTCACATGAGGAAAAAAAACACACACAAAAAACCAAAACAGCCCAAAATATTCTCTTCTCCCTCTCTCCTCCTCCTCCCCAGCCAAAGAGCAGAACAGAACCTTTTCTCTGCTGTTCTTGTCCTCCAGAGACATAACAAAATCACAGACCAACAGTGAAGCCAGGAGGAGAATAACATTGCTCTGAAACAGAGCACATATGGAGAGTACAACGTTCCCACCACTAGAGAATCAACAATAGCAACAATGAAATAAAGTTCTCAGCAGCAAACCTTCCTGACCCTGTAAGTTCCACAGCAGGGTTTGCAGTCATTGGCAAGCAGACACCGGGCACCTCTAAGTGGTGTAGTGAGACTGATTTATAAATCAGAACGGAAAATAGCTCCTCAGCAGCCCAACAGTCATCAATTCCTAAATGGAAATATGCTATACAATCGTCTAAAGAAAGTCTTTTTAAGGAAAAGATCACAAAGAATTCAAGAGTCAGATATTACAATATTCAGCATAACTGACAGAACCTAAACATATATTCCATTTGATGTAAAATATTCTTAGATAAACAATCTTGACTAATATGGTTGAAATGCTTGACCGACTATCATTGTGGAAAAAAAAAAAACCACAAAAAAACACAACACATCACCATCCAAATGAGAAATTTATTCAAGTTTTTTTTTAAAATATTTATTATAGAAGGAAAACAGATTCACTGCTTCCAGATCCCAGATGCTTCTTCCCACGTACCAAATACATATGTCTATTTTATGCAAGTAGAAACTTTCACTTCAGAAAGGGAACAGGAACTCAGAGAAACATCTTTACTAATAAGACTGATTTTACTCTATTATTTAAAGCTCAAGCAGGAGATCGTTAGAGTCTCTGTAGATTTCTCCCCTACTTGAGCTGTAATGAAAAGCTACCTAGCATGACTAAGAAGAACTGACTAAGTCAAAACTAAATTTGAGTGATGTCTCACTCACCTTGATGTTTCCTAATAGAAAATCTTTCCAGAATAACCATGTTGAACTACATTTAGTATCAGCATTTGTTAAAAACAGACATCCTTAAATGGTTCCAATGCCCACCAGAAATTCCACAAATACCTAAGCAGACCTTACAAAGACACAAACAGCATTCAAACAGAAGAAAAAAAATAGAGGCATATATGTTACTTTTGTCACATCTTTATTTGACAGTCCACAAAACATCAATTTCTAAAGGTTCACCTTTCCTTTCCCTAACAAGAGGCTTACTCTGTTACTTCCATGCAGAGCTTGTGCATATTGATTTAGAAAGCAAGCTGTCTGAAGAAAGCAAGCCTTCTTTGCTACATATTTGCTTTTTCTCTCTTTCTCTCTACCCCTACATCCAAAATATTCCTACATCTCATGTGTATCTGTTTCAAGGCAGCACCTGCTGCAGTTTGTTTGTAACCAAGTTATAAACCTCTCTCGCCCTCCCAGCACTGATTTGTTTTACTTTGTCTAGACACCTGGTTTCAAACTTGTACAAGCTTGATATTTATGAGAGCTTCACCCCTTCTGCAATTTACAGAAAGCTGGTCAACAGATTCAGAAGCTGTTGTAGAATGACAGGGAAAAAACCTACACCAGTATGATCACAATCTCATTCCCTGCTGTAATTCAGCTTTTATCTTATCACTTTTTCATGCAAAAGAAATATGTTCCCTAATACTCTATTTCAGCTATGCACCTTGTACTTGGCATAGTATCATAACATAACAATCTATTTGGTGCTTATAAACCAGAAAAGTAACGAAGCTGCAAAACCTGCCAGAGTTTCATTTTATAACATATTACTATAGCTTAATTTAGATTGCTCAAATAAATACAAAAAGTTTCTGTTCACATCTACTTAACTCTTGATATATTCTGTCCATTACTAGCAGGTTTTCAGCTATGAATGCTATTAGCAGAAAAGATTTAAGAAGTTAAGATAAACTGAAAGTTGCTCACAGTTGCTATTGCTTCAGTTTGCTCCTTGTTGTATTCTCTGTATTGTCCTAGCAAACGGTCAACATGTCTTAGATTTCTGTTGGTATCCTTAAAAAAAGTTTGAGGAAGAAAAGTCAAAACAGAAACATCCCCTAATCAAACGTTACTGCTGCTTTTATTATTCTTGGTTTGTAAGAGTAAATTGATAACATAAGTGCTCTTTAAAGGATCTAAGCATTCAAAATCCTATTCAAGTAACCAAAATCTGAAGACGTACAGCATGGCTAAAGGGAAGTAGAAAAAAAAAAAACCGCAAACAAAACCCCACGCTATCATTTACAGTACAACAGTAAGGCCTCAGCTTCAAATACAAAGTTTTATAAGTTTCAGCCACTCTAGAAAAACCTTTTTAACCCAAAGATCTTAACTTAATTCTGTTTTATAGGCAGGTAATGTTAACTGAGAAATAACCAGTTTTTGAAGATCAACACATTAGGTAAGGTTTCTGCATGAGCACTCTCTGACCAGATGATGAACTGGATTAGATGGCAGATCTGCTGAAAAGCAGTCCACAAAAAGCAATTAGCTTAAAATCAGAATTACAGAAAAGCAGCTAGAAAGAGATTTGACAGAAACAGGACAATACCAAAGAGTCCCTTTAAAAAAAAAAAAAAAAAAAAAGTCAGATTACATCTCTCGTCTAGCTTGATGACTATTTTCCAGCTAACAAGTTTTGAAGTTTAAATTCAGCATTCTAAATAGATTTTTCTTTTCTCACATATTTAAAACAAAAAAAGAAAAAACAAAACACACAACATTGCCAGCCCCACAATACTTCAATACAGGTGATAATATATAAGCCCACTCAGTATAGGTATTCAGAACTGTCAGCTAGAGAAGAGTGGGAATGACTTCTCAAGCAGTAAATGGCGTCAAGATAGCTAAATGTCTCCTCCCACTTGCAAAACAGATTCAGAGATTTCCTCCGCTGCCTCCACTGAAGAAACAGGAATTAGAACAACACTTTTTCCTTCTCAGGTATGGATCTCTTACAAGTTTACAAATACTGTTTCTCACTGTGCCATTCCATATCTACAAAATATTTGAATTGTAAGCTCTATCACGAGGGAATTGACTACCTACATATTTACATATTTATCAGGAACTGGGAAATTTTGCACAGTACAAGGCAACAAAGATAGGGCTGGAACTTTTTGCTACAAAATTTAATGCCTCTTGTGAGAATCTGACAAAGTTTATTTGGCATTATTCACTTTGCTAACTTTATAAACAGTATTACCAAACACATCATTGTTTCTAACAACATTCTATTACTGTCTGAAATAACGGCTCTATAAAAGTGTAACAACCCACATACTTTCAGCTCAAAAGCAATACGATCAAAATCCCAAAACCTTTTTGGTTTGCACAGAAAGCAATGTTTCCCATCAGTACAATATTTCCCACAACTTCAGAAGTGACAATTTGACCCCACGTTACAGAAATGCAGACTCTGTAAATACTTTAAAACCGTATTTTGTAAACAACCTGTAAAGTGCTTGCTAAAGTATGGATCTTCTCTGTAACTTCTTCAGCACCGTAGTTCCGAGCTCTGCTGTGGGATGCTCTCAAAGGTGGCCGCCTTCCTATTCGACCCCTAAGAAAGTTGTCTGAATCACTGGATGAATCTGCCATTAGTATCTTGAAACCTAGGCAGGAAGACCAGAAAAAGTAGTGAATGTTAAATCCTGATTGTAACCAAACAGTCTCTGACTTCCACAATATTCACAAAGTGACTTCGACTCAGACTACATTTACATTAGCCTTTCTGGTTCAGGTCAGCAGGATATACTTTTGAAGGAGATCTTCCAACTCTTCCTCAGTTATGATGTTCATACCATGCAGCAGTGCCAAGATGCAAGAGGCAGAGCCCATTAGGAGACAACTAAATCAAAATATGCACTCTCACTACTTCTAAGTGTTCAGTACCCAGGATAAGACCATAGCCCAAAGCAAATTCTCCCCCCAAAACATACAGTGGAGACATCGTGGCTTTATCAATCATTCTGGTCTGCAGAGCCATTTGCCTTTGTCTCGTGCTACTTGTTAAGATGGAGTCAGATTGGCCAGGGCCAACTAAGACAAATAACCCCAAGTAACTAACTGTCTGAAGCAAGTCTAAGAACCAGTATCTTAATGACTCAAGGAGAATTGGAGATATTATGGAAGAAGGCAAATGCAATGTCTTAAAGGAAAGAAAACTGTGGCCAAGAAGTTATAGACTAATCAACTTAAATCTGTGGAAAAAATTAAAATAGACAATTTAAGTTTCCAACAAAAGATCTGTTCTCAAAAAAAAATAATGCAATCCATCCATTTATATTAAATCAAATGATCCAGTAATGAGCAACTAACTTTGTTAAACAGGGAAGAAGCAATAGAGGTCACTTTTTTTTTCTTTTAAAACCTTGGACACAGATGACACTCACTAAAGTAAGCTAAAGAAACATGAACAAAATTAAGCTTTCCTAAAATGGAAGCAAAACTGGGTCAGTATCAGAATTCATAGAGCAATTAACATAAGTATCAAATTGGAAAGAGGTATCAAGTGAGAATCTAGAGTAAATCAACTATATATTTTCATTAAATGACCTGATAATGCAATATAATATGTTTATTAAGTTCACAGCTGGCACTATTTTTCCAACTGGAGAAATACAGCAAGGAAAAGAGAAATTGGTATGAGAAAGAGGGAGAAAAAAAAGGCTATTCAAGAGCTTTAGTATTTTAAGTTGAATATGCATCAACAATGTTATGCTCTAGAAAGAAAAACCTAGCACTATCCAAGATGTAAAAATATGGGTAATTTTGTAAATTATGAAATATTATTTATTTTTCCAACGTTAATTCAACATAACTCAGATTACTATGTTGGTGCTAGGGGGAGGCAAACCACTCGACTAGAATTAAAAATTTACTTGAGGCAGAAGAAAGAATGGGGATTGCTGAGTCTTGAGAATGGCAAGGTAGAAGAAGGAAAATAGGGTAACAATAATCAGACATGGGAAAAGAAATTATTAAAAGCTGCAGACAGCTATGACTAGTATAGTAAAGTCACATAGTAACTAATTAAAATGACAACTCTCAAAAGGTAGGTAAGATAGAAATTTTTTTCTTAAACTATTACACATTGCAGCAGTTTGCCTAAAGATCAAGGAATCACCACCATAAGATCTGTGTTAACAGCATCTGTTGGAAGAGACAGTCTAGGCCTACTTTGGGGAAGAAAAAATAGATTGGCAAACTCTTGAACTTCCTTTGGTCCTGTAGTCAACACAAAAATGTCACAGTAAAGGTGACATTCTCCTATCCATTAGAGCTGAAGTTTCCTAAAGAAACCATGGATGAGATTCAATTCTTATATTGTATTTATATATAGAGGCAACTCGATGTTTTTCCAGAGCCTTATATTTATTTTTTAAAAGGTTATAAATTTGTGTCCCCCAGACTTGAATAGAAACATGAAAGGAGAGTAAATCAATGTACTCAGTCTGTGCTCAAGTACACCAATATTCCTTACATTTTCTGCTGTGATGAATTTATCTCATCTTCCATCCCCTTATCTCACTAAAGCACATTTTTACTACCAATATCAGAATTCACTGTTCCAGTGCCTCTCACTCCAGTCAGCTGAAGTGAAGTCTAAACGAGGTTGAGAAAGCATAAACACTGAGCACTGGGAAACAGGAAATATGGGATATTTTCAAATACAGAGAAAAATAAAAGAAATAAAACACCAGCAGAAATAACAACATGGGATGATGTTGATTTTCACCATAATTCAGTACAAAAAAAACCCCACAAACAATTAACTCTGTCCTGCACCTTACTACATCAAGCTGTATTTTCCCCTTGATCTTTACTAAAACCTCATACAGACATCAGCAAGATCCACATTCCAGCACGCAGACCACAGGTATCATCGAGAAGCATGAAATGAGACTTCTCTCAAACAAGTTTGGCACCACCCATTGTAGAGTAATTTTAATTCCTTCTGTAACTGCAGTGTCACTTATCTGGGCTAAAACATCTCTTTCTGATTTTACCAAGCATGAAAAGCAGCACAATCACTCAAAACCCAATAAGCAACTGATTCAGTGATCAATTTCCTCCAAGCTTAACAAAGGTTTTCAGTTTCAAAGCATTTTATGACAATATCTTAAAGACACCAAGTAAAGGGGAGACACTATTAATGGCCATACTAAGAATTAAGCACAAGATCAGCCTTATTGGGGATCAGAAACTCAGTAATCTAGTCTTTATCTACTCATGGACCTATGTACCAGCATAGTTTGCCTAACTCTTTTTCTTACAGTCACAACACATTTCATTTTTAACGATCATAGCAAATGCTTGAAGATCTGTATCTGTCATATATCATCTCAACTACAAAGTCATAGTAAATGTTTTAGCAACTTAGATTCTTCAGAACTCCATTCACAGTTTCAAAGGAAGCAAGTTCTCTTTTCCTCCCAAACTGGGCAGAAAAGCATATTTTGGATTTACTCTGTAGAATACTGCACAGAAGTATCCCATAAGAGCTAGAAAACTAACCTTACATTATGCAATTCATATAGCTTGTCTTTAAGTTGAACGGCTCCAAGTGAAATATTAGCTTAACTCTTAATTCCACCACATCACATTTCTTTCTAGAAGCTGGGGACCCAAAACCAACATCACTTACATTATCAATATCACATTAGTGAAAGAGGGCTTTTTAAGGATACCTGAGTAGACAGACAAATTAAGAACAACGAGACATGTAAGAACATTCAAATGACAGAAAGTGTTTTAACTCATTTCCAGACGAAATGACATAAGCCAGCAGAATTCCAGAGGTTAGTTATTACATCTCAGCTGATGGGAAGTAAATTCTTAAAAGTTTCTGAAACTCTTTTGAGAGTGGGCCCACGACCCTACACGTACCTCTAGTTAGACAAGTATGGTAACTTGTAATGTCAGAAAAGAGACGGGCACTGATAAAAATTAATGAAAAATATCAGTTATCGATGAAAACATTGTTTTGAAAGTGTTTCAACCATAAGGGCCCCAACTACTGAAAAGCTATGACACTGGAGAAAACAAAAGAGAAATTAAGATTTACAGCAGAAAAGATTAATGGGTTTCCTTTCAGCTGTCCAAAACCAGGCTCATTAAGATACTTACTGGCCAAAGCACTGAAGACAGGCTAGTAAACAAAGTAAACCTAAAAGAAAATGCTAGACACAGGACGACATTTTGTCTGAAGAAAATTTCTATTTATGGTTAAGTAGCATTCCTCTTTGTTCTCATGAGCAACCTAAGAGGAACCATAAGTACTTTTAAGTTGAAGTTTTGTTTCATATAAAGCAACATCCTCATTTTTAAAGAAGTTACAGAAGTTTTGTTTTAGATTTAAAAAAAAATAAATCATGAAGTAGAAATCTGTACAAATATTCTGCATGCAATTTAAACACACAAAAAAAGCTTACTATCACTTTTTCCAAAAACCTAGATTGAGTTCATCACATCATGATATAACCTACTTGACAGTGAGAATCATTTGTCTTTTACTGGTTTTTAGGCTACCCAAATGGATTATAACCTTTCTTGCACTGAGGAACAACATCAATGCTCAGTATTTTCCTTCCCTGTAAAAAATAGGGCATTTCAGTCTCACTGAAGACTCTCTTGTTAAGACATCCACAGGGTAAAGCAAGCCTGAAGTACAGCTGACAGTCTCAACAGCAATTTCTCCAGCTCAAGTAAGCAAAAGATGAACTCTGTATACAATACCCAATTTCTTCTCAAGTGTTGTAATTTGTTTAGCTCCAAGCAGACTAATGTATCACTAGGTAACCTAGTGCTAAAGGCATGTTTGAAGCCTTATATTAAGACTGAGCATGACAGAATAATTCAATAGCCATTCTAGAATGGTATAACGTGACACCTGAAAGGCCCTTTACTTCGACACTTCTAATTGAGCCACGAGAAATTTTCAAAAAGCCAGGCAGGTGATCCAACATGGTGACATTTCACCATCGTGCTCTCAGGCACCAGTACCACATTTTATTGTTCCCAGCACTCTTCAGCACCACGACATAAAACGGTTCCTTCATACTGTTCACAAGTTAAGCTCAACTAACTCCCTCTGCACATCCTCCTCCCGTCGTGCACGGGACGTCGTGCATCGAACGTTGCTAACACCTGACCTCACCTCTGAGAGCCTCCGGCCTCCTGGACTTTTTGCCCAGGACAGGACCACGAAAGCCCCGGCGGCAGCGGGACAATCCCAGAGCAGCGCCAGGCACGCCGACGGCCGGGCATCCGCCA